AGTAATTATAGGTTAACCCTAATTCTCATTTACAAATTAATTATTTACAAGAAAAATAAGATGTGATTAAGTGATCTTTTATTATCAAAATTAATTAAAATCTAAATACTTCTAAGTATATAGAAAATATATTTTTTATTTAGAAAAATGTTTTGTAATGTAGTAAAAACCTAATTCTAATCATTTTTACAAGTTTAAAATTAAAATAAAGCAATTAATTTTATTTGAGAAAATTAAAAATAATTGATTAAAACCTAAACCTAATTTTTATGACTTTTTATGATTTAATGTATTTTATTAAATAAAATAAATAAATAAAAGTAGAAAAATAAAATATAAAAGAAATAAAAAAGATTGGGCATGTGTTGTGAAAGGAAATTGGGGGTGTAAAACGTGTTAGGCCCAAAAGATAGTTTTTTTGTTTGAAATAAAAAATAAAAGTGGGCTTGTGATGGAAGTAAAAGGGAGGTGAAGAAATAGCAAAAACAAAAATAAAGGGCCTAAAACAGAGGAGCCCAACGCCTATTTGAGATTCAGTGTTGCTGGCTCATGAGGGTTCATGGTGGTGCTTGCATCTGGAACATCCATCTTGGACATAGAGAGATCAGAGGGTGATGGTGAGGGGCGCATGGTACGTGCGTTGGGACAACCTGCACATGATCTTAAAGAAGTAAATATGTGAAAATTAAAAGGGTACCGCTGGGGCTCGAACCCAGGTCCCTATAGTCACAAGTGCGCGCTTTAACCACTGGGGTGGTGATACATCCGGTAGTTAAAGAACAAACCAATAAATATATTACAAACTCAATCTTTAATATACTTCATCTTCTTCCTCGCGCCAGAAGCCATGTACAACATTTTTGAATTCTATAACTCCCTCATTTCTCAACAATTTTCAAAAATTTAAACATGAAAGTTGCTTGATTTTTCACCACGAATTCAACCATATAACTTTTAAAAGCTAAATATCAAAGACTAAGATGAATTTTGTTTAGTACCAAACTGAAACCTAATTTTTTCAAAAACTTCAATTTCAAAATTTTTCACGTACAGTTAACATAAATGAAAACTAAAGGCATGGTTAGCTTTAGGGCAATGATGTCTACATTTTTTATTCAGAAAGTAAACATTAATGATGCTTGTACAGAAAGTTCAAAGTTTAGAAAACTTACCTCAAAAGTGAGAATCATGTTTGGAGTTTGAGCACTCCTGGAGATGTTGTGATGATCTGGATAGCTTCACCGAACTCTCACGAAGCTATTGCAATGCTTACTTTGGATTGAGAGTGCCTGTATTCTTCTGGAGAAGTCAAGCTATAGAGTTGAGTTTTTAAAATGGTGGATGGTGATGGAGGGATTACAGTAGTGGTTCAAGTGTTTGGATCACTTATATATGTTGTATAGATGATGTTTGAATGATTGAAATAGAAAATGCACAAGTAGATTATGAGTTTGGTGTCCAAGGTCTGAAGTTGCCACAAGATGGAGTTTTGATGCAAATTCTGGTTTGAGGGAGTATGCGGGTGTTTTGAGGGCTATGAATTCGTGTCTTGGCTTGCAAATGATCATGTTATTTATAGAGAAAATATTTGAGGAGCTGAGATAACTAGGTTTTCAAGATAACAAGTTATGGTTTGGTTGAAAGTGAGAAATCAAGTTGGATAGGTTTTCATGGTTCCAAGGTTCAAGTACAAGCACGGTCTGAGTTTTTTGGGTGCACGAAGGTTGCTTCTTGCTTTGACATTGTGTATGTGCAGAATAAATAATTGATAGGCTCAAGGAGTTGACATTGTGATTAAAGTTTGCTTTTTCTAAAATGGAAGTCTTGGCTTTCTTCCCTTAATGGAAAAATGGTTTGGACAATGGCTCAAAAACTTGGATAATGGATCAATCAATTGTGTAAACATTAAATTTTGGATTGATTTTCAAGTTATAAGGCCTACAAAGCAAGATTATGCAACATAGCATGAAGATTGGATCATGTGTTCTTCACCAATATGGCTTGTAATTCAAGTTTATCATGCCAACTTCAAGTCTTCGAATCTCCTAGCTGAAAAATGATCTCTTCAAGTTCTTGGACATTTTGGAAAGCTTGAAACATTTTCTACAACCTCCAGGTTGACCACTTTAGCTAAATCAACTTGGAACTTGGTGAGAAAATGCCAAGAAGTTGGGACAAAAATCTGACCAAACTTGTTGAAAATTTCACTAAGTGTTTTGATAAAAATGTCATGACTTCATGGGCCTATATCTCCTAATCCAAACATTTTTGGACATCAAACCTCGAGGTCAAAGTTGTAGAATTCATCATGCTCTACAACTTTCATGTTGAAAGTTTTCCTTGAATCATCTTGCATCTTAGTGAAAAGTGGTCATGAAGTAGTGAATTTGTCAAGGTTAAAACACTTAGAATTTTTCTGTATTGGAAATCTTGACTTTTTGTTGACTTTGTTGATTCTTGTTGATCAAGCTTGATAATTTTGAATGTATGGATGATTATTTATCTTTGAAAATCAATGTTGACCAAAAAGTCAAAGTTTGACCTTTTGTGTGACTGTTGACTTTTCATCAATTGATCCAAATTTCAACTATCAATCCCTTGGTCTTTAGAAAAGATTTGAGCCATGAAATTAGGTCAAGATATTATGTTTATGTCCTTGAGATCATGCTTCAAGCCATTAGGTCATGTACTAGGTCAAAAGTCAATGATTTGTCTTTCTCAATCAACACCTTAATTTTGACAATTTTGCCCCTTTGATGATCTGAGGGCTTTTCTTTAGGAATTATGATCAACTCTTGATAAAATTAAGAATATGACTTCAAAATTTTGATGTTGACCAAAAATCTTGAAGTTTGACTGCATGTTGACCACAATTGACTTTTTACCCAATACAATTGATTTTCAGTCATCTGAGCAATTGACTGAGCAAATTTGTGATTCAAGACTTGAAACTTGGTATGAGTATTCTTGGAGTCTTATGATGAGCCATGTAAGTAACTTGGGGAATTATAAGTCCAATTTTCCTTGAGAAAATCAAAACCCTAATTGTGTACCCAATGCTTAGGAGGTGAGCTTATCTGATCAACTCTTGAGTATCCTTGAGTATTTGAGAACTTTTGTGAGAAACATCTTGAGAAAAAGGGAGAGAAAATTTTGAGGTACAATATTGGGGGGTGTTAATTATTGTTGAGGTAGTAATATGGAGGGTGTGTTTATCATTGGACCAAGCCCAGATTAATTATAGGAGTCCGTTAGCCAAGGTATGGGTGGGTGCAGAGAGATTTGAAACGTTTGATTTCAGTTAAAGGGACCTCATGAGTTAATCTGTGGCGTTGATTGAAAGTAATACAAACAGATGACCACGATGGGATGTTGACCAAGGTGCACAATAAGGATTAGCGTATGGTGACCAGTTAATGGTCACCAGATCCCATGGTCCTCAAGGGACCACGTGGAACTGTTATACCCCAATTTTTGCTCCTAAGATCCCTATATCATCTCATACCATCACAATGCATCAAGATCACACATTAAGGTTGCTTCTCCCTTCTATTTCATCCTATCTTTAAGTTTTCTCTTGAGGGATCACCAAGAACCTTGAATCATGTATCTTGTATATATGTGTTTTATATTTTACTGACCTCAAAATCCAAAAATATGTCTTGTTTATTTTGTTTCTTTTAAGACAGGGTTTCCGATCAAGAAATTTAGGTGATGGTTCTTTGATTAGGGTTGTGGTTTGTTCAGGAGAAAGATGGTTCCCAAAAGCCTATGTTTCAGAGTGGTGATCTATAATCTTAGGTCACGCTATCCTCAAACTCCGTTCAACATGGTTAAGGCAAGTTCAATTGCTTAATTCTCAAGATTCTTCGAGATAGGTTCATGTGTTTATTTACATGCCTTTTTTTGACGAATAATCTCAAGTTTTGACAAGTGTGGACATGGTTTAATCAAACTTTCATCATTTCAAGTTCATATATTATTAAAAGCACCTTAGGTTGTGGAAAAAGATAAAGTCTGCAGGTGGATTCAAAGTTGGTTGACTGAAAGTCAACGTTTGCAAGTTTGAGTTCAAATGATCATAACTTCTTCATTATTCAGTATTTTTTGGTTGATTCTTCAAGCATATTAATCTCCTTGATGTCATCTCCAATTTTCCTTTACATGTCGAGAGCCAATTACGTGTAGAACGCCATCAAAAGTTTGAGTATATTAGAGATTGTTTTATGGACTTTGACCTATTCTCAGGTGACATTCATACAACTACTAAGGATCATAATTATTTCAATTTTTATCATTTTGGGATAATTCTTTTTGCACAGTATCACAAATGGCGTTGTCTACGAGTTTTCTTTAAGAGTCGAAGTTAGATTCTGTTTAGAAGGTTGTGGAATTTGCTGAAACTTTTTAGGTCATTTTCTTTGGCTTAGAAGTTCATTTGACCATTTGAATTGCAATTCATTGATTGTTTGTTACTTGTGAATTGAAGTGGTATTTTTAATTCAAAGTTCCTAAATATTTCAAGGATAAGCTTCTAAGTTGAAAATCCCAAATTATACATCATGGTTCAATTTGGTCTCTTCATTAATTCACTCAAAGTATCATTTAAGAGAAAGTTCAAAATTGTATCAAAGTTATTCAAGTGGATTGTTCAAGTTACATGCTTCATCCAATAATTAATTCTAGCTTCGACTCACAAGGACGATTTCAAGAAGCTAACGCATATTTTCAAGTCATGTTACAAGAACAAATGTGAAGAGTTCTTTGATCTAATTTCAAAGTTCCATACCAATTCAAGAACCTCCCTGGATTCAGGATTCAAGAATTTTCAAATTATCTTACAAGTTTAATTACAAATTTGAATCACAATCTACATGTTTATCATTTGTTCTAAAAATACAAAGAAAAGAGAACTTTTCTTCGATCTTCAAGTCCCCCATAGCCGTTGCGTCGACTTCATCTTCAAGTTGTTCTTTCATCCTTCTTCAAGCTTCCCAACACTATTCCCGATCATCATTGTTCTCACACATGAAACAAAGAAATAATTGAAGTTAGTATCTAACAATCCACTCTCTTTTATTTGATTCTGTGACTATTCATTGTTGTTCTGAACCAAAACTTTTCCAAAACTCTTCTGTAGATATGCACTTTTTTATCATTGTTTTTGAAAAAACTGTTTCCGGATTTGAAGAGAGGGTGACAAACCAAACTGAAAAATGTTAAAAAATTATGTTCCAAGCTACTCACAGTGGCGCCGCCGCGAGACCTCACCGGCGACCACCGCGAGTCCACTTCCCTCCGCCTCGTTTCTTTCTTTTCCGGCCTTCTCTCTCTCTATTTTATGATTTCATGATAAAAATGATGATGATGTATATTGATAAGAGAGAGGAAGAGGTTTTGTTTTTCTTGAAAGATGAAAGGAAATTAATTCACGTTACATCAATTTTTTTAAAAGAAAAAATTTGTTTCTTCCATCCCTGTCTCGAGATAGCCACCGCCGATTGCATGGATGACAAGTGGTCTCCGTTGACACTTGTCATCACATCTGAGAAGATGACAAATATTTAATTCTGTGCATGCTTGCCCACTATTTTACAGTGTACATCCTTTCTGGATCATTGATGCTACATAAATTGCCCTATTTTAATTTCGGAAATTTAATTTAAATTCAATTTTCGTCCAAAAATTCTGAAAAAAAATTCACAAAAATCATTTTTTTTTTATTTCCGACTTTCTGGAATTTTAATTTTATTTTTACTATTTTTAGTCATTTTTCACTTACTTGAGTGATTTTAAATAGTTTAAAAATACTTTTCTGTTTTAAAAAAATATTACCAAAATTTTTGTAAAAATAGTTGAGATCATTTATGACTTTTCTATGGTCTCTTTTAATTTTTATTTGATATTTTGAATATACTTTGCTATTTTTTCTTTTATATTTATTTTAAAAACAATTTAAAAAATCATTTTCTCATTCTATTTTGCTTATTAAATGCAATTTTATTTTTGTATATATTTTGGCTGATCTTGAACTATGTGAATTTTAATCATAAGTTTCATTAACATCATTGGATCTGTGGTGTGGAGTTTAACTCCACCAACATGGATGAATGATTTTAATGATAGCTTGATTAAATTCTTTGATTCAAATGTGGAATTTAATTCTTATTTATTTCTTCTTCATCTAATTTCTTTTTGACTTTTCTTGTGCTACAAGTTTCATGAGTGTAGTTTCTATCACATCTCTAACTTGTATAGTACATACATTGCTATTGACCAGCCTCAAAATAGGCGCGACTTCTACATAAGTCCATTTACGATTGTTTAACATAGCGCTAAATTTGTCCCGATTCAACAAATGATCATTTGTGGTCCAAACCTATGTTTGCAAGCCCAAGTATGTTTAAATTGAAACCTTTGATCCAATAACTTTGAAGTTCATTGTTAGGAGGCTTTGATTCTATCAATCCTCTAATGAACTTCATGAATTTTAGTCTAAGTGAATCATTTGAACAACGTTGATCATATGTGGTCGCTTTGAGCATTTGAAATGAATGATATACTTGACAAAAAGCAAATGAAACTTGTTGTTGAGAAGCTTTGATTTTATCAATCTCCTAATGAGTTTTCAAATGCAAGCTTCAAGATGGCCATTTAACTAACCTTCTAACTTCTAATTCACTAACAATTAACTTTACTTTCTGTCTTTATTTTGTGCCTTTATTTTATGTACCATTTACTTTAGCATTTACATTCCATGCCATTTTTTTCTTTTGCTCACTTGAGCATTTATCTTTATGTCATTTTATCTTTGCTCATTTGAACTTTTTATTTTCTTTTTAAAACACTTAATAATCAACTTGAATACTAAAAAAAATTTAAGGTTACTTGGACTATATATGGTTATTATCCTTGGCATTATGGAGTTGTGGATCTCTTGGACTTAGAATTAGAAGTCTTGATACTGGGGGACCTTGTTGCTCTGTTGTTATTTAGTCTGATGTTCTTGGGGTTTATTCCAAGGAATTGGGTTGATTTTCTTTGTGTGCAGGTTATTTTGATTATATGCTTTGTCTATGATTAAGAATTCCTCTGTATACAGTTGTTACTCTGTCCAATTTTTGCAAAGACTTAATTCATCTGAAGCTTGGTATTCCTCAGAGGTTTAGTATTTTTGCTTGCTTGGTTTCAATCCGAAGGATGAGAGTTCTACATTGACTTCTTATGTCAAGTGTTGGCTTCTTGTTGGTTAGATCATTCTTTTCCTTAGCTTTTACCTTAAGCTTTAGGATAATCCCTTCATCTCCTCTTATCTTTTTTAATTTCAAAATCTTCTCCCTCCTTTTTAAAACTCTTCTTGTTTTTTAAAACTCGAACCGCTTTCATAATAAACTTGGACTTAGGTCCATGCATTCTCAAAAATATTTTCTTAATCAAACTTTAATCAATTTAATCATACTTTGATATCTTTCTGAAGACTAAAAGTCATTAACCTCATTCAAATTATTTTGTCACTATGGCTTTTTACTTTAAAACTTTTGCCCAAAATATTAGACTCTTGTTGATTCTTGTAGTGAAGCGAGCTACTATGCTTCTATGATATGCAGTGAAGTGATATATTTTCCACTTAGGTGTTGAGTGAGGATTTTTTAATTTTAAAAATCCAAGCTATATCCTCCACTTTGAGATGATGCAAATTCTCCATTCTCATAATCATGGGTAGTACGTATGTTTTCCACTCGGATATGACGATGGTGTCTCTTCTCTTAAAATTAACCAACACACATGTGTTTTAAAACTTTTGAGGTGAACTATGTGTACCCTGATCCCTTATTGCACGAAAGGTGGTATGTAGGCACTAAAGGTTCGCAACCGCGGCAGGTGAAAAGTTATAAAAAACACTTATTTTCTCATCTCCACCATCTTATTACTGTATACATCTTTTTATAGGAAAAATACACAGATTTTCAAAGAGGTTCCTGCGGAGTACCGTAGATGTTTTAGGTGATAATACCTTTCCTTTGCATAAACAACCCCCATACCTAGATTTCCCCCCTCCTTTTGAGTTTATTCTATCTTTTTCCATTTCCTTCGGAAACAATAAAGTGCGACGATGATTTTTATTTGATCCGTACGAGTTAGGCCAATCCAATGACTTAGTCTCATAATTTCTACAACTACAGAAAATTGGAGACTTCATTGAGGACTTAAGATCTCTAAGTGGGTTGATCCTATCTTTGTTTATATGTGTATGTATTATTAGTTGTTGTATATTATTTTTTGTATATATGTATGTCTGGATTTTTCTGGTTTGCAGGATGCTTGGTGATCTCTTATAAGTCCTATACCCGGACTTGGGAAAAATTAAGATAGGACGGGTGGTATAGTCATGTTAACTTTGAGAGAGGAATCCCAAAAAAGGAGACATGGGATCCCCCACTCAACGGAGGCCCTTTTGATTATAGTATTTGTTTACCAAGAAATAGGGAAGACATGATGCTTTCGACCTGGGAGCCTGAGAAATTGAGAACCATAATACCCTTAACCCATCTTGGCCTTTTAGGTGTAGTGCGGAGACTATGACGGAGCAATCCGGAAGTGGTTGTCACACGATGCTACACTCAGCTGAGTTTTTCCTGAGTATATTGCTAATTATCGAGCTAATCGGGATGTCGATAATATCCAAAGGAAGAATGTAGACTTTGGGACCTCTTTGGAACCTTGTTCAACAGGTGATAAACCATTAGTCCATACCTTGTGGATAATACCTTTGACCTCATACTCATGATGTCAAACCTATGAACCCCCATGTTTGTGATCTTGTGTGTGACTGTTGCATCATCATGCATTCATGCACCCATAAGCATTCTTTAAACAATTTTTCAAGGAAATTAAGGTTGACTTTTGCAAATATCTCAGGTACTCTTTTCACCATGGATTTTGGAAGGAGAAAGACTCAAAAGTACAGTTTCAAGGATCCTAAGATAGAGGAAATGATGAGTTTGATTCCTGAGATTGAGAGTTCCATAGAATTTCGAAAGAAGTATGGAGCCACTGTTCCTCTTATAAAGCTCAATATGAAGGAGGGTATTCTTTCTATGTTGGTCCAGTTCTATGATCGACTGTGCCAATGTTTTACTTTTCCTGATTATTAGCTGATACCTACTGTTGTACCCCAAAAATTTCCCTCCCATTTGGGAAGACAATTGATTCAAGACACCTCCTCATGCTCCTAGGGTTCTTAAGTACTCAAGGCTACTCAAGGGTTGACCAGTCAAACCTCATCCTAAGCAAATGACTACAACTAGGGTTTTGTGTTTCTCAAAGAAAATTTAGCCTCTAATGCCTCAAGTGAGTTTCATGGTTCCTCATATGCTTCAAGGTACCCTCATGACAAGTTTCAAGCCTTGCATCATAAGTTTTCTCAGTCAATTGTTCAGATGATTGAAAATCAATTGTATTGAACAAAAAGTTAACTATGGTCAACATACAATCAAACTTCAATAATTCTAGTTAACATCAACATTTTGAAGTCATATTCATCATTTGATAAAGAGTTGATCATTATTCATCAAGAAAACTCTCAATTCATCAAAAGTCAAAAGTTACCAAATTAGGGTTTTCTTAAGGATAAGTCAACTGAACTTTGACCAAGCATAACTTTCACATGCCTCATCATATTTTTCTCAACCAAATCTCATCTTAAAGGGAATTCAATTATCTACATCATTGTCTCTCTAAGCTCAAGTCTAAAAAATGCTTCATTTGAGAGATATGAGCCAAGACATTACAAGTCATTTGAAAGTCAACAAAAAGTCATCTTTTGTTAAAGAAATTTACATCAAGATAAAGACTTCAAATGAAAAATAAGATTAACATAGAGATTGTAGGGTACATCTTAAGCTTTCCAAAAAGTCAAAGATCACCTTCATATGATAAAAATTTAGGGAGTTATGTTTGGTGCAAGTTGAGCAATTTTTGAGAAATGCATGAAACCTCATTTGAGCAATTTTGAAATTTTGGGCTAATGGGCTTAACTTTTGAGGTTCAAACATGTTTATGATATGTTAGAGGACCATAAATCATTTTGTACATGGCCATGTTTTTTTAAAATTATTTTATTTAATTTATTTTAATTTTATGCAAATAAAATTAAAATAAATCAAATAAAATAATAAACTAATGGACTAAGACATGTGGGCTTGGTTTTGGATCAAATTTGAGGCCCAAGAACACATATCCAACTTGCCAAAGCAGTGGTAGGCAAGATTGGGACATAATCTTCTCAAAATGGAATGTTTGAAAACATGTTTTTTTTTTGTATTTTGGCAAGACATTACATACTTGGTCTTTTCCTCTTTTGTCTTGATCTATTTTCTTCCTCTATAAATACACACAACATCAGTAAACAAGACCACGAATTGCTACCTCAAGAGAAAGCTCCAAGAATCATAAAAAATTCTCAAGAACTAGGGCAAGCGTGAAACCCTATTTGCAGCCTCTCCCAAGCAATTCCAAGCATTCCATTACACTCTTGAAG